GAGAGAGATCGAGAAAGAGTGTGGATTTGCTGAGAAAGCAAATAATGGCACTGACCAGCCAGAGAGAGCGAGGAACAGCATTGACCGGTATGAAATTATTAACACGTGCTTTACATCTTTCCATTTCATGGGTGCAATATTACATATCATGTGGGCATGTAGAGTCCTTTGAATGAGGATTGGATTATGTTGGCAGGTTTGGACATATGATGAGATCAGTTGGACTCTGCAATATTGATTGTTTCAAGCCGACGGCAACGGCTGTCTAGGAGCTGCCAGTGAGGTTTTGTTTCGCTTCTCGTCAGTTCATTTATTTGTTAATGGGGTTGTATGGGCCATTGAAAGATGTCTTACTGTTTTCTCATCCATCTCCTAGAGTGAAAATAGATGAAATTAATTTAACCAGGAAAATTGTGTATGTTAATTATTTGTCTTTTTAAGTTAATAAATCTCTCCCACTTGAATGCCAATATTTTGTCCAGTTGTGTATAAAAACGGGGTTGACTCTTTATCTTATGCTTTTCTTGAAGTTGAAGCACCAAAAACCTGGAAGGTTTTGATTCTATGTGGATGTCAGTATCCCAGTTCTTGGCCTCTCCTTCACCTGTAAGTTCAATCTTGATAACTTGTTAGAAGCTTCTTACATATAGTGGACATGTGATTATAACATCTCAAACTCTGTTCAGATTGGTTTTACTTTCAGACCATCTTACAGAAGAGAAGATTCTTCTCTTTAATCTATGCCACAGATAAGTACGACGTCAGAGATGTATGCAGTTGAATGAAAACCAAGATAATTTTAGTTTTCAATGATTTGTAAGAGAAAACTGAATGAAAAAAGATTAAAATTGTTTTATTAAATTTAGATTTGATGAATGATTATAAATTATGAATTTATTATTTGTTGAACTTTTTTATTAATTATTTTTAAATTTAAAACATAAAATTAAAAAAAATAAATAAGATTCTTCCTTTCCTATCCATCTACCTCCTCAGTTCCGCCGGCGACAACCACCCTCTGTTCACCCACCAAGCCCATCTGCTAATGCCAAATCCAGCGCCTAAGGAAGTGACCTTCTTTCTCTTTCCTCTCTGTTTACTTCTTCACCGTGTAGATGTGCACACGCACACACAGAGACACTTATAAGAATCTGTGTAAGCCAAGGAAGTGATGCAAGTTTTGCTTTGACATCTAAAAGAAATTGTTTATTGTGAATTCGGATTGGATTATTTGAATGCTTTTATGAAGAACTGGTCGGTATGCATGCACGATAGCTTGATTCATGAAGAAGACTCTATAACTACTTGCTCTACCTTTTTCTGTATTTTTGAAATGTTCTCTCAACGATTGGTACAAGACTTATATTGTTAGAGATGTTGAATTGATTAGGGTTTATTTGACGACCTTAAAATGAACGTAGGGCTACTATGTACATTATATTCCTATTAAAAGTATTTCTTACAAGGTACATTTTAAATAATATTGTGTAAGATTTATTAAAGATTATTGGTATTTGTTTTTTTGTTTTTTTTTGAACTCATATAAATTTATTATGGGTTAAACCCAATAATCTACAAAAATTAGTTTGTCTTTATTTTATTTTTTTAATTAAAAAATTAGATGAGATATTAACTTATTATGCGTACTTCAATTAAAAAAAATTTAAATTAAATTTGTAATAATTCATTAAGACTTTGATAAATAATTTTATTAAAATATGCAAACAATTAATCGAAACTATCCATGAAAAAAATCTAAAAAAATATAATCATTTGAAAGACATTGAAGTATAAAATACATACAACCATCTAATATATATATATATAAATTGTATTTAATTTTTCATGTTCTAGATAAAATTAGTTTTAAAAATTGCTAAAAATATTGTCTTAAAAATATTTTGCCATTTTAAAAAAATCGTAAAGATTATTTTTTTACTTGAAGTACTAATTTAATATATATTAATGTATAAATTACTTTTTTAAAAAGGAAAGGAAAATGTAACATATTATTTAATTCAATAAATTTTTACACACCAATTTAATACGTCCAATAAAAGTATAATAGATTTTAAAATAATACCCCAAAGATCACCAAATAAAATATAAGCACCCTAAAGATTGAATAATTGCACAAAACACCCCAGGCCCCTTGAATTGAAGCAGGGCAACATGCGAACCGCCAGGCTCCAAAGAGAAAGATGGTAGATACAGGCCAAACGAAAGGTTTAAGGAGGGTTTAAGGCGGCTACTACGTTCTGTCAGTTTCTCTACAAACTACTCACTCTCTTCATGTATCATTTTTCATATTTGCAAATTTCTCTAGCATCCATTCTCTCCCATATCAAGATCTCCTCAACTCCGCTTAACTATACACTTAATTTCACTAACATTTTTAGTTTAATTTGATGTCCAGCAGCAAACCCCCTTTAATATCTGCTAATTCCAGCAACACATTCGATTACTTGATCCCCTTGGGTAAACCCACAGTCCAGTGTCAAAACGTGTTGAAGATATCCACCGGTATGTGGAGAAACATAGCCAAGCTGGCGGTTTCAACCTGTCCCAAGAGTCTTCTTCAATTCTCAGTACTTTCCACGCACTTACAGCTTTCTCGGGCTTCCCCAGGAATCGATTTTACCGGAAAAGTTCCAATTCCGGGCTTTGGAGCTTGGTTCATGCTCAACCTTTGGGGTTTCAAGAAATGAATTTTCGTGGGGTTGGGGAGCTCTCTACACATGAGGATTATATGGGTAAATCCAGTTTTGGGTTGTCGAGAAATGAAACTGGTTGTAATGGGTTTAGTCCAAGAGGGTATGTGAGCGTAGCTGAGGCGGTTTCCTCGACAGATGTCGAGGAAGATGTGTCGGTTGTTGAGGAAATACAGGAGTTGTTGGGGGAACTTAAGAAGGAAGAGAGGAAAGAGAACGATATTATAAGGAGGAGGAGGCAGCAAGAAGACAGGAAAATGGGTCAAGGGAAGTATCTGGCACTGAGGAGAAGGCAGGTTAAGATTGAGACTCAGGCATGGGAACAGGCTGTAAAGGAGTATAGAGAGCTTTTGATGGACATGTGTGAGCAGAAACTGGCACCAAATTTGCCTTACATGAAATCTTTGTTTCTTGGTTGGTTTGAGCCTTTGCGTGACGCTATTGCTAAGGAACAGAAAATGTGTAGAATAGGGAAGAACAAGACAGCAATTGCACCGTATTTTGTGCAGTTGCCGGCAGATATGATGGCCATTATCACAATGCATAAATTGATGGCTCTGATGATGACCGGAGGCGAACATGGCTGTGCCAGGGTTGTGCAGGCTGCTTGCTTAATAGGTGATGCCATTGAGCAGGAGGTTGGTGAGATTGATTACTTCTTCACTCAGTTTCTTGATAGTTCTTTTCTTAAATTTGTCTTACCTTTCCCATGTTATGGTCTTGGTCCTAATTGTGGAATTCTTTGGAGTTCCATTTAGTTGCTATTCTATGAATAGGAGTTTAGGATTATGTATATGTGATGCTTTATTTTATTAGACAGATGATGACGATAGTGAATCAATATTCTTCTTTATTTTTGGCTTGCCTGTTATCTAGTCTAGTTCTCACTTCTTGGCATGAACCTAATTGTCTTACTTTCTGGTTTTTATCATTTTTCTTTACCAGAAAATCGGTGAACAAGTGTTTCTAAGGACGCACTCAACACCAGAGAACATCTTTCATTCTATATTTTGTGTCTTTTATCTTCATTTCGCGTTTGTTTTCTAGAAAAAAAAGGGAAGTGGACTATGTCTCAATCAATAGATTACAAAATAAGTTTTTGGAATTAGAAAACCAAAATATGATATGGGGAACACTGTCTTCTAATTTGGAGAGCTATTTTTCATTTTAACTCCAGAAAATTGACTAGGAATGGATAGAAAGATATCTCCCTACTTATTTGCATTCGGAAAACCATGTTTTCCACAGAATGGAGATACAAGTTTCTTAGATGGATATATTTTCTGTGTAAAAAACTTCCTTTTTCTGGAAAATTATTTTTCAAGATACCATTACCTATAGCAACTAAAGCAAACCCTTAGCTATTATTGTCTTTTTTCTGGGAGAGGATTGAATAATGGGATTGACAAATTTGGGGCAGATATCTATTATCTGCCCCCCCATCCTTCGAGCTGTTTCTTTTCTTAGTTTCTTTGGAGCTTAGATACTGATCTTTTTACTTTCTTCTATCCACCAGGTTAGAATATACAAGTTCTTGGAAAAAACAGAAAATAAAAAGAAGAAAAAGAATGATAAGAAGGTGGGAAATGAAGAAGATGAATCTAATTGTACAATGAAGGAACAGGAGAAGCTGAGGAATAAAGTAACTAATTTGATAAAGAAACAAAAGCTCCCAGCGGTTAGGCAAATTGTGAGAGGACAGGTTGATTCAAGACCGTGGAGTCAGGATATAAAGGCTAAGGTATATGCATCTCTTATACTCTCCATCTGAGACTTGTTGTTCCTTAGCTGCATCTTTTCCAAGAATTATGACATCAACTTTTCATTTTCCAGGTTGGAAGTCGAGTTATTGAGCTATTGTTAGAAACAGCTTATATACAGCCACCGGCTGATCACATAGCTGATACTCCACCTGATATTCGACCTGCATTTATACATACATTCAGAACAGTGATGAAAGAAAATAAGTGAGGCTTGTTTTTTGCTTTCTTCTACCAAGCTAATTTCCTATCATTCTCTTGTCACTTCAAATTGATGGTTTTCTCTTATCTCCAACAGGAAGACTAGCAGAAGATTTGGTGTCATTGAATGTGATCCTTTGGTTGTCAAAGGCCTAGACAGAACTGTGAGTGAATCATGCGCCTTGTAGTGAAGATCTGTAAATTTTATCAAGATGTTAAGTTGTATTTTTGCTATTGATTTCACACTTCTAGGGTTCCAAGGTAAAAAACTGATAAACTACTCTTGAACTTAACTGTAGATAAAATAGGTATGTAAAAAATTACATTCAGTTGGAGAACGCGGGAGCTATTTTGTGGCGCTTTCTGTAGTTTTATATTTTATTCAATTTCCATTTTGAGGAATGAAAGTTCTTTTTATTAACAACAGGCAAGGCACATGGTGATTCCTTATATGCCAATGTTGGTGCCCCCGGTCAAGTGGACAGGGTATAGAGATCGAAATTTGTTCTTTCTAGTTTATTGTCTTTTCCCTTTTTTTTCTTGGTCATCGTTGATGACTGTTTCTTTTTCTTCCATGATTAGCCCTTTTGTTTACCGTGATGTTTTCTTTTGGGTTGCCATTGTTCTTGCAGTTATGACAAAGGAGCACACTTGTTCTTACCATCTTATGTCATGCGCACGCATGGAGCTAAGCAACAGAGGGAAGCAGTTAAGAGGGCTCCTAGAAAGCAACTAGAACCAGTCTTTGAGGTTTGAAATAAGTTTTGTTGTATGGTTGTTTGTAGTGCATGTTGTTTTTATGTGAACCCTTTGTAGTACTTGACAATGTGGAATGAAGTTGCAACTCTATGAACTAAGATTTATGTGCTAGTTTCAAGTTTGTAGCTTCTGTTGAAAGAATGTAAACTAACCTTTATTAGTAATCTGTCAGGCTTTGGATACTCTTGGCAGTACCAAATGGAGGGTAAATAAGAGGGTTCTTAACATTGTGGATAGGATATGGACTAGTGGTGGCGTTCTTGCTGATCTGGTGGATCGCAATGATGTGAGTACTTTGTATCAATGTAATTGTAGCTCTCTATGTATGGATGTTCCAACTAGCTCATGATGGTGATAACAAGAAAAAAAATGTTCAGGTCAGCTTGCTGTATGTGGTCGTTTGACTCGTGTACTTCCTAATTGCAGGTTCCATTACCGGAAAAGCCTGATACTGAAGACGAAACACTTATCAGGAAATGGAAGTGGAAAGTTAGAGCTGTGAAGAAGGAGAACAGGGAGAGACATTCCCAGCGCTGTGACACAGAACTTAAACTTGCTGTAAAAATTTATTTTCTTCACTATTGCAAAAACTGCTTAATGTTTTTCATTAACTATTTTTTCTCTAAACCTATTAACTGGGAGCAGGTGGCGAGGAGAATGAAAGATGAAGAAGGTTTTTATTATCCACATAATCTTGACTTTCGAGGACGTGCATACCCCATGCATCCATATTTAAATCATCTTGGTTCAGATTTGTGTCGGGGTGTCTTGGAGTTTGCAGAAGGACGTCCGCTTGGAAAGTCAGGCTTACGTTGGCTTAAGATACACTTAGCAAATCTTTATGCTGGTGGTGTGGACAAATTATCTTATGAGGGACGGGTTACATTCACTGAAAACCACTTGGATGATGTATTTGATTCTGCAGACCGACCACTTGAAGGAAGAAGATGGTGGCTTAAGGCAGAAGACCCCTTTCAGTGCTTGTCTGTCTGCATTAATCTCACAGAAGCCTTAAGGAGTTCCTCTCCAGAGACATATATTTCATATATTCCTGTCCATCAGGTATTTTCTTTGAAACGATTACTGGTATCAGCTCATGGGAAAGGTGTTTGTGTTCATAACTAGAGTCCAATTGTTGCTACATAGTTCTTGTCTAAGTTTATGGACTTTCTTTCTTTCTCTTCTTTTACCCCATTAGACGGATTAATATATTCTCAGAAGACAAGAACAGTATAATATAAGGTAACTAGTATGGTGACAATAACATACTATGGTCGATCTTAGGCCAAGGAAATGCACATAATACATTATATGGAGATAAGCTAATACTTGTAAGTTGCAAATTAAGATATGCAGTTTATGTTTCAATAAACTGTGCAAAATAGGCATTGCCTGCTAAGAATTCTTAGAGGAATAAAAAGAGGAAGATAATATATATATATATAGAAATATATTGGAAGGTGGGGCAGGATGGGAGGGGGTAAATTAGGTGAACCTTTGGGCTCACTTTTATTTTCTATATACAACCTGTTTGTGACTTTCAGCACTACCAATTTGTTTTATACTTGGTCATTTCTACTGCGGAGCAACCTGATCCCCTTTCCTTTTGGTGTTCTCTAGGATGGTTCCTGCAATGGTTTACAGCATTATGCTGCTCTTGGAAGAGACAAGGTACCTGTCTTCTTCATTTGGAAGTTGCTAGTTATCTGTTTACTGGCACTTATTATTTCCTCATTGAGTTTTATTTTTGTTTTTTTTTTTTCAGTTGGGAGCAGCTGCTGTAAATCTAGTTGCAGGTGAGAAGCCTGCAGATGTTTACTCAGGAATTGCTGCTAGGTA